TTGGACCTTCAAATACAACTTCATAATTTTATACTAAGGCGCTTTGACCCTTACGTAGATTAACAAAAAGACAACAAGTTCAAAAGCCATAGAAGGAGGGGGTATTTATAACTTTTCAGCGACAGTTCATTGCCGGTAATGGTCGACCGCCGACTGGTACGCATTAAATGCCTGGGAAACTGTACCTACAAGACGTTTGGGTTAAATTAGTTGCTTACGTCATGATGTATCGAGTTGAAGATCGAGGGCTCAAATCGTTTCTTGTCTTTACTCTCCAAGAAATAAGGGGACTATCTGTATACGGTCAAAATCGGGCTTGTTCTTTTTGTTCGACTGACCAAGGCTGGAGCATGATAGGTCGCGGTTTGGCTCCGATTTAGATCAAACTATGGCGCGGGGTTAAGTTATCGAGACCCTGAGACCAACTAAGCTCGAGGTTGACCAATATCGAGACCAAAAAAGATGCAGACCGAGGGGAGCCAGCTAGGCCGAATAATAGAAGACCGAGATATCCGTAATTGGGAAAGGATCGTGGCGGAAATCTTGGCACGTATCAAGTCAGGACCGGTTATTTAGCCTATCATGGGATTTGCTTCTATAATTAAAATTATGCCATAAATAGGATTCTTCTACTATATAAAGAGGGTCCTAATCATTTTGTAAGGGACTCATTCTCGCATATCAAAGCATTACAATACTCTTTTTCTCTTATACTCTCTTGTTCATCAGTTTATTTCATAACTCTATCTGTTCGAGAGCGACCTAGTTCGAGGGTTGAATCACATTTCAATACTGGTTTGCTTTACTTTGCTGTTAATTTCTACTATTAATCATCATATTTATCAACCGGTGCTAGGTGAAATTACGTATCCTTAAAATCACTTATAAGTTTAATTGGTTATCCGATTTTAAGGGTATCAAACAGTAGGTAAAGATAACAATCTACGAGTAAAAGAGATACCATATTAATACTACTGCTATCAGTCTGAAAAAGAACGAGCAAAAACGCTCAACTATCTATTAGTTTTCTACCCTAATTCTCGACCTCCACATCCTCCTATACAGGAACATGTCCTCGGTAAGCTCCTGCACCATATCCAGCCTAATATAAATGTAACTAGTTTTGTGCAATAAGATGTCTTCACAGCCAAATAAGAAAACATTTTCTTTTCCAACTAGCATTACATAAAAGTCCAGCGACTAATGGAATTTGTCTAAGACAATTAGTCGCTTCTCAATTGGGAAGTCATCCATAATTGTAACTTGATACAGTATAAGATAACTATTGTTACACAACAACTCATATTTAATTTTATATCGAACAAGTTTTCATTATGGAACTAATAATTCCATTTTAATAAAATGGTAGAGCGTAAGCAAAGACTTGCCCAATACATGATTAGGATTTAGAAGTAACATTTAAGAGTTGTCAAATGAATTTACAACTTTTTGGACAACTTCATTATTATTTTAATTATTTTTTTGGGTTAGATGCTCAAACTTTTCATATGTTTTCAGTTAATTGTTTCAAAGTCTTGATTTAATGTGTGAATCACCAGGGGTTAACGGGATGGATAAGATCCCTCCCAATTCAACTACGGTTTCAAGTTCGAATTTTGAAAACAAAAAAAAAAGGAAATATTAGTGGGAGCGCTCCCCCTTTAATAGACTTTACCTGATGCAAATAAATTAGTCAGGACTCCAACACCTGTGTCAAATATTGGCTGGAAACAAAAAAAAGTGTAGGCTAAGAGTAATACAATTGGTTTGGTTTGGTTCGATTTTTACTTAAAAGAAAACAAAAATTAATTATATTTGTTTTTTTTTCTTTTGATTTTAGCTTTTGCAAAGAAAAAGTAATATTTTTTTCGCATGAAATGAAAATTCGATATATTCAAATTATTAGAGATTATAATAAAATAATTTAAGTCAGTATATATTTGTCAGGAATTAAATAAAATATCTAATATATAATCTACTAAAATACTTACACCTAAGAATGTGGTCTAGTAATTAATAAAGTGAGTTAAGAATTTTGTGATTTTAGATTCATATTCTGACGTAGATAAATACTCTAGGTAATTGCTTTTCATATATTAAAATTTTGGTAGATAAAGTTACAGTAATACTTATATTGATGAAAGATAGCAAATACTATTCGATGAAATTAATCGAGATATGCGCAAATAACCCCAAACACCAACATTATAAAACAAATATTAACCTATTGAAATACTTTGAGTCCAATTCACTCAAATTAAAAAAAAAAAAAGCACTATTAAATCGGTTAGGTGTCCAAGGTCAATTAATCATCTGCCCGAGTAGACATTTAAGAGGCGGTCCAAAAAGTAGGCGCGAGAAAAAAGGACCTTCATTTGACGGGGCAATTGAGACTTGTGACGACACATGCCAGCCAAAATTTGGCACGGCTTTTCCGTGTGTGTGCTCGCTATGTGCTCGACTCTTTCTGCCTTTCGGCTTGCTTTCACCCCCAAAATAAATTACTACTTCCCGTTTCAATTTATGTGAATTTATTTGTCTGGATACGAAGTTTAAAAAAAATAAATTTTTTAGAATTTATGGTTCTAAACAAGCCAAAAAAGAGTCCAGAGTATTTGTGTGGCTATAAAAGCTTTTTATTAAGGGTAGAATTGAAAGTTTAAGCTAAATTGTTTCTAAATTTAGAAAGGGGTCATTCTTTTGGAACAGACCAAAAAGGAAATAGGTTCACATAAACTGAAACAGAGGGACTAACATATAGTGACAAATTTGTTTTATTTTTATTTTGATTCAAAATAAGTGTTTATTTATATAATCACGAATAAATTTAATTTATTTTTCCAAAATTACCCTTACGTACGTATCCTAAAAAGTCATTTACTCCTCCTATTTGAGAAGAAAAGTAAGTGTTTAAGTAACGGTACTTTAGTCACTTATTGTGGACCGGAGGGAATAATCTTTTTGAGTCCTCACACCAATTCTATTCTATTTTGATAAGAGATGGGTCATGTGAGGGATAAAGACCTTTTTTACCTTTATTTTTTTTATTTTTTACTAACAACGGTCAATTAACGTGCATTTCGATAATTTTATCGCGTTATCTGTTATTTTCCGTCAATATAAGTTTTAAAATAAAAAAATAACAAGCTATGTGAAAGTTGAGGGACGAAAAATTAAGGGTCTAAAAACGAATCCTTTATTTATTTTCATCAGGTGTCTGTTATCCGTATTGCGCCCAGGATTAATATGGTTCGCATCAAGTATTGTCTAGTAACTAAAATCTTTTTCATTACTAATGCTTGAATTTTAGATCTCTAGTTAAGGGAAAGAGATTGTTTTCATCCCGCCACAAAACCTTGAATGATAATTTTAAGGATCATCTTTGTGAATCAAACCAACAAATCAAAAAGGAGAATAGAAGCAACTCAAAAGTAGATTGCAAACACAAAGTAGTACTCTCTCCGGCCTACTTTAATTGGTGTTTTTTTTACTTTTTTTTTTATAGTCCACGATATTTGATTTTTTCAGATATCAAGAACGAATTTACTTCTTTTTTTTTTTTTTTCAAAATTGCATTTGGAGTAAAAGAGCCTAGGAGTATTTTTTATATTTTCAATGAATAAATTAAGGTTAATATGATTAATTTAATTATTGATTAATGCTAAAAGGTGAATTCTTTAATATGTGTAAAAACAACAAAAGAATTAATTAAAGTGGATCAGAGAGGAGTAATAAATAGAGCTTCGAATTAGATTAGGAGACAATAATTCTATTTGAGGATCACGAAGAAACATATTAATGTTAGGACTTTTACATGTCTTCATTAAATACGTGAATAAACTCAATATTTCATTCATCTCTTCGAATAGTAAAAGAAATAAGCATCAATCAGTTTTTGTTAGTTAGGAGTGCTAATGATACTTCGACCAAAAGAACTTTTATAGCAAGTAAATTAAAAGAAGTTTTCAAGAGAATAATTCAATTATCATATTGCAGATCCAAAAAGCTTTTCGATTTTAAATTTAATTAGACCTGTATTACTTAGTGGTGAACTAGGAATAATCTTTATTTTTAAAAAGAATATTGACATATTATTACTTAGAGAATCAAATAATCTTTCTTTGACTACAATAATATTTTAAAATACTTTTACGGTAAGAAATTATGATTTAACCAAAAGTTCTATCAATTTTTTTTAAATAATCGATATTTAAATGGCGTCAAAAAATAGATACGTCAACTTTGTACTCCAAATCCTGCATCTCTTTGGAATAGAAAAAAGTAAATTTTTATTTAAAAAAACTCTTCTCTTTAACTTATTAGTATTGAAAGAAAATTAAGCAAAAAGTACCGACTATAAAGAAGATCAGGAATCAAATTTTGCTTTATTACCAATTTATCATATTCCTATCAAAAAATACTATTATCTTTTCTTTTGAAAAAATATTTATAAACCCTCTCTACTGGTAGCAGAGTTACATACAATGAAGGGTGACCAGCTGAACATCATTTGTTAACAAATATATTTGGAATAAAAATTATATTGTAAATTTAAATTAAAATATATATTTTATACGAATATATTAAATCTTGAATATTTTTAAAATTTCTAGTTTTGCGCTACTCTCCACTCCCCTAGCCTTTCGCCTTCTCTCTAATTCTTTTCTATTAATCAAATTACTCAAGGACAATTATTTTGACTGATTAGTACTTGCATATAAATTAATGTAATATCATAGAAGTTTATTTTTGACTGATTAATACTTGCGTATAAATTAATGTAATTTCAAGGAAATTTATTTTTGACTGATATTTTCAACCTGTCACTATCCTTTTTCTGGTGCAAGCCTAATTTTTCCAAATCCCAACCTCAATCACGCACGTGCCTTTCCTTTTCCCACCCCCACTCATCCAACACATCATTCTGCTGACGTGTCCCACATTGCCACGTGGCCAACTATATATTGCTACCTCTTTATCCGTCCGATTTAACCCCTGGTGGAAACCTATACATACACACATTTTATACATACATTCAAAAACAGTCACGCCAAAAATACATGAAAAAACAGCAAATTTGCAGATTGTGAAATCTGAATCTGAAAATCACAAAAAAAGCTTGAGAATTTTGTGGTAATATAAATAGTTGCCGAAATGGCGACGCCATTAACGACGGGAGGGATACAAGGCGGAGGAGGAGTAGCGGTAATGGCAGGGCCGAGTGTAGGACACGTGGATCAATCAGGACCGTTGAATAATAGACCGGCGACGGGACTTAAAGGTACATCGCCTATACGGATTTTCCTTTTCTTCCATAAAGCTATACGGATGGAGCTGGATGCGTTGCATCGATCGGCGATGGCATTTGCGACGAATCGGAACAGTGAAATTAAGCCTTTTATGGAACGGTGTTACTTTTTGAGGTCGATTTATAAGCATCACTGCAATGCTGAAGATGAGGTTCGTTTATAGTAGTTTTATATACTCAGTTTTTGCAACTCGATTTTTTAAAAATAATTTTGCAAAATTTTATATGCAGGAAGCTTCTGGTGAATAATTTTGAGCAGCTTAGCAAGTATATGCTCCCAAAAAAAATTTGAAATTTCATTTTTAGTTTTGTGTTTCTCCTGCTATGGAAATTCTGTGTGATTTTGTGTCTGGTTCTGTTTAGTGAACTGGATTAATTTTAGTTGCATATGTGACACTTCCAATATTTTAATGAGTTAATAGAGGATTCGTGCTTACAATTCAAAATAAATAGGATAATATTTATAACGATAAGATTGGATTGTGTTGTAGTTGGTAAATTCTGATGAGATTGCGTGTTTATTGCATCTTTAGTTCAGTTTTAGTGCAAATTGTTCTTCTTGAGTTCTATTCTACACAGGGATTTTAGTTGATCCACTTTGGTTAGTGTGCTTTTGCTGGTCAGAGGCAGTAGGTAGTTGCGCGCAAGTTGCTTCCGGACTCCACCGTCATTAAAAAGATTCCTCTTTGGTTTATCTGGTGCACGTGGTGGTGGGAAGACGGATAAGTTTTGAGTTTTTTGTAGCTCAAGAGTTCAATTTATTTCATGATCTTATCTGAGATAGAGAAGGTGGTTCACTTCTTGATTTGCTGCTAGTGCAAGTATTGGTTGTTATGGGAACTAGAAAACAAATATCAAATGTGAAGTAGAAAATGAAAAGAAGATCTTTAAAAACTGTTTTTGCTTCATGCCTTCTTTAGTTGGATATACAATGTAGTATGTCAGGACTCCTGCTGGTTATATTGTTATTTTTCTGCAGAGTTACTAGAACTTGAATCAGTTATATAGCTGTCTGCTTCCTGGCAACTGATTCTCAATTTTGAATTTCTGAGGCTAGTAGTGACTGTGAGCATACATAGGCAAAATCGAATTTAAATCTGAATTTTCAGTTCTCCTGCTCTTGAAATGTTTATGATTTTTGTCTGTTTTTGAACTGGAGAAGTTCTTGCGTGAAATTTCCTGATGTTTAAAGTCTTAATTTCATTTTTTTGGTTTATTTTAAAAGTGAGACTAGTAACTTATAAAAAGATAAATAAATGGTCTGAGAAATTGTAACAAAAAAATTGGATTTGTGTTAACTTAACTAATGCGGCTGGTAGTATCTTAATTTGGCTTTAAATTTCCTTTTCTGTGTTGGGAATTCTTTCTAATCCTCTTTGTTCAGTGGGGTGTATAGAGAGGTGGTGCAAAGAGTGCTGGTTTTAGAATTTGTTTGTAGTTCTAGCAATATCTTCATGTTTTTGGGTCGAAATTTTCTTTATTTATTTACAAAAGAAAGGGTTTTATCTCAAGGATTAAAGAATCTGGTGTGCTTTTTGTGTCGACATCTTCTGCTAGTTCCTGCTAGTTCCAGCATTATGTTTTATAAGAGAGAGGGGGGGGGGGGGGGGGGGGGTAGGCCGACGATTTCATATGTGAAATTGAAAACAAACAATTTTAGGAACTGTTTTTCAGTACAGTTCACAATTGTGCTTCCTGCCCTCTTGGGATAACACATTTTGCTTCACTTGCGGACTATGAACTTTTGGGCCTGGTAGCTAATTGAATCTCAAGCAACTTTATTTTAACTATCTTTGATCAGTTTATTTATGGGAAGATTGGGAACACTTTCCAGTAATGGATGTTAAAAAGTGTTTCTCGGTTTTCTTTGGATTCAAACCCCATTAAGATCCTCTAAGTTTCTCCATTTCGCCCACGAGATAATGAGAAACATTCCCACATTTTACGCCTTAAATTAACTTCAAGGAAATCGTGCACCTAAGAGGATCTATTACTTTATTGCATGTTGAAACTACATTGTGGATTAATTGAGGGGATTTGTGCTTTCCCTTTTGCACCCCAGCATAGGAATGTAATTTTTTTCTTTTTTCTTTTTCCTCCAATGGTATGACATCTTCTTTTTTGATAAATAAATATTTCATTAGTTATAGAGCAAAAGGGCTACTTCAATACAAAATGGAGCAAACTTGATATACCGCTTCAAACATCATAAGCATATCTTTGTGTGAATGACAGGTTATTTTTCCAGCACTTGATATACGTGTGAAGAATGTAGCACGGACTTACTCCCTTGAGCATGAAGGAGAAGGCGTGCTTTTTGATCATCTGTTTGCGTTACTTGACTCAGATATGCAAAGTGAAGAAAGCTACCGCAGAAAGTTAGCTTCCTGTACAGGAGCTCTTCAAACATCTATTAGCCAGCACATGTCTAAGGAAGAGGAACAGGTATCCTAGCAGAGTTTTACCTTTATCTTATTTGATGGGATGTGTGATATGCCTTGTGTTACTATGAAATTAATTATTTTGTTGGCGTGAAAGGGAAATCCCTCGAGATGTAGATCGTATGCATATATCATTATCCCTTGATATGATTTATGTTTATTATTATATTTTTCATAACTGAGAAATGCAAGAGCCAATGTCGCACAGTTCGAACTCGGTGGATAATGGGCCTGTCCCTCTACCCTTCTCCACTTAAATACTACTTTTAGGGTTCGAACCTGTGGAGTGTGCCTAAACCACATATCATGTGCTGCATCTTACCATTATAGACCAAAGCCTTGGGCGGTAGATGTTTGTTTATATAGTACTTAGAAATAAAATTGAAGGTAATCTTATCCTAGAGATAAAATTATCTAGTCTTACTTTTTCAGTTAGACATACAGTTTTAGTGGTTTCTAAAGTTCTAATTGTTCAGAATATTTGATAAATTGATTTTGTATCACAATCCCTCTCTCCTAAGGGTGGCATGTGGGCCGGTTAGGCCCGGGCCGGGCCCAGGCCCGCGAGCCCAAATGGGCGGTGGGTCTAAACGGGCCTAACCGGATAGAACCGATGGGGGTGGGCTTGGAAGTGGGCCGGTCCCATGATTGAGGCCCGCGAGACCGGGACCGTTTGGGCCCGGGACCGGCTGGGAAGTGGGCCAGTTCGACCGGTCCTAAACGGGCCCAACAACTATTTTTTTTTTTAAAAAAATCTGCCAAATGTGGCCGTTTCTAGCCGTTATGGCATTTAAAATATGACCTTTTTACCTGCCAAAATAGCCGTCGGCTATTTATAAAATAGCCATTTAACCCCCCAACTTTGTTTTAACCCCATACTTTTTATAATTACACTTTTTCCCTATTTCAACTATAAATACCCCCTCATTCTTTCATTTTTTTCACAAAATCATCAATCTCTCTCATTTCTCAAACTCAAATTGAAGTATTCAAGTCTTCAAGTCTTCACTCATCTCTCACTTCTCAAACTCAAATTCTTAATTCAAGTTAAATCATGCCCGGTGATTCTAGAGTGCGCTCATATGTTTGGGAACACTTTAATGTGGTAGAAGAAAATGAAGAAGTTTACATAGTAAAGTGCAAGAACTGTGGTCGAGTCTTTACTCATCGTCCAAAGTTGGAGGGCACAGGCTGTTTAGGGAGGCATATAAAGAGTTGTCTTGCGCGTTCTCCAGACATTCGTATTTAAGATTTTAAGTTGATTTGAGACAATTTGTGTTATTTTAAAATTATTAGACGTATTATGCTTAATGTTTTAGTCTGTTAGATTAATTTGAAGTATTATTAATTTATTATGCAAGGATAAGTGCAAGTTTGAACTTTAATTTGAAGTATTAAATGTAAACTTTAATTTGCAAGTTTGATACCGAGTTCATCTTAATATATATATAAGATGTATATATAGTATAGTATTATATATATACTAAGTGTATAGTATATAAGCTATATTCAATATAACATTAGCTATATATATATATATATATATATATATGAACGTGCGTTGCACGTTAATAATGGCACGTGATGATTTTAAATATTTATTTATATGAAGGAACAATAAAATTTAATTAATGAGAGTAATTTTATGTATAATAATACAACAATCATCTAAATGCCGAAAAATGTTATTAGCATAATACATGAATTTAAAATAAAATGACATCATCAAAACTTACACAAATAATCAGTCTTATCATGTTAGTTAGATAATTATGTATTATAGTTTAAAAGTATTTAATGTGATAATATCTTAACGAACAATTCTCCGTGGACAATTTTTTTCTGTGTACGTTTCCTCCTAATGTTTTGGTTGCTGTGCCTTAACCAAAATTCTTGTTGTCGATCTTGATATCGCTCTTGAAAGTGCAACGTACAGTTATTCGTGCAAGAAAACATATTGCGGTAAGTATCGTCTAATATTTAGGATATTTGTCCTTGTGCTTTATTTATTATATTTGCATAACATAAACATACTAAAAATTATTTTCACACAAATTTAAAAGGAAATTCCTTAGTTTTGAAAGATGAAAGCTGAATTTGGGGATAAGAATACTTAGAAGTACATTGACCGGTATAATAATTTTTGCATGTATGACTTTATTGTGAAAACTTCTATATACCATTTGTGTGCTATTACATAAGCTATTTGGCGTATCTAAGTTTTTCAGTAGCATGACGGCAATAATTTTCTTCAAAATCAACCTATATAAAATGGAAGATCAATTTTAACTTAATCTATTATATATATGGTGACACTAACATGAGTAGGAAATAATAAACTTGACAACATATATGGCAGAAGGCCATTTAGTATTAAAGTATTTAAGTATTCTCTTGGTAGTAATTATCGGCATCATTTTCTGCTGAATCAAAAACAGAAAAATATTTTGTCTTTACTATAAAATTTTGCAATCAACTTTTTATTTAGTTGATCAACATATTCATTTCTGCTAGCTAATATATCTTTTTAATTCTATCATGCAATTTGCACAAATTACTTTTTAATCTAATGATAGAAATATTTCTCTAATTAAATGCACTACTATTACAATTGAAATTGATAACCAAGTGTTCGGGAAGAACCAAATCATCTTTTATTAGATGCTCTTCTTCGTTCCGACACGAAGCAAGAAGACACTGAATGCTGAAAATGTTCTTAATTTATATTTCTTGTCAGTTGAATCTTTTTCATTTGAGACCAGAAGTATAACTTTGTCAAGCTAGCTTTTATAGTGTTTGTTTTGTCGATTTTGGAACTACTAGTAGTACTTGACATAAGTTACCTCCCAAACCATTAATTTCCACCAAACAGTTCATTAATATCCAATATATCTCTAGAACATTGGGCAATTATTTCGATCGTTTGATACTTAGCCATAAGTGTTTCATCCCATATTATCAAATTTGCTTCCCTTATAAATTTAGCACCTTTGCTCTGCTTTGATATATTTGTGATGGTTATTTAAGTTGTTTGAAGAGCTATATCAAATCTAAAGTGGGTTGCCTCACAATAAAATCGTTATTGGTACACCACTTGCTATTATTGCTAACAGTGTCATACCTCTTGATATGATATTTGCAAATAATGCATGACATAGAAATATTATTTCGATTACGCCGGAGGCATCTACAAAGAATAATCTCGTTTATAGCATAGTTGACTATTTATAATACAGCCTTGAAAGCTTGTTCTTGTTTAAGATTTAGCTCTGATTGAGCTTCCTCAGACACTTATATAGCATTTTGATTCTTAATAATATACTAACCTTTTTACTTTGTGTTCTAACGCTAAGACTTTTTTTTAACTTGAATAAGAACTTTACTTATATGATGAATTTAAAAAATAATTGAATTGGATTATCTTGCTAAATAATTTATTAAAATATTTAATTATTTAGTTTTAACATAAAAAAAATTTATTCTATGTTGATTCAAATCCTAATATTAGTTCATCTCTTGTTTTGAATATTTAATCTTTATTATAATTTTATCCACCACAAATTTTATTTCAAAGAGTAAAAGATTGGTATGACATTTCACTTTTAGATATTTATGCCTGTAGAATCATTATTGGTATTGACTCTTACCAACTATTTTTTCTCTCTCTCACACACACAATTATATTCTTAAATATTTTCTTAGTTACTCTTTATGCAGTCCATTTAATATTACTTTTATATTTTCTTGGTATTGGACATTATCGAGTGGTAATGTATTCCCAAAATAGAGGAATCTTGTAAAATTGATTTTGTTAAACCTTCCTACATCTTTTTTTAATAAGAATTTAATAGACAAAATTTTATTAATTTTAACATCTTAAATATTACGTAAAAAATAACATAGAAGGCATTGTAGTCCAAAAAATAGGTAATTACAGTTATGTCCTTTCCCTATTAGTTCTTCTATTTAATATTTTCGGACTATTTTGGTATATTAATATTGTATTTATGCTCCTATAATAATATAGACTCTCCTTTTTCTAAATGGATTCGGACAATATAATACATTCTCAAATTAAATTAGTAAAAGGACATTAGAATACGTTTTCAAATTAAATTAGCAATAGAAATTTTTAAGAAGTATATCTGAAAAGTAATAGGATTACATGACTAAATAATCACTACTTTTCCTAGCAGTGATTACTTTTTCTACGCTAATGGTGATACTAATTTTTGAAATATTTGCCGTAGTAAATTATAAAAATAGAAAAGTATAATTTAATAACCAAACTTTTAAATAAATTACCTATCGATTTAAAGTTAAGAATGACAAATAGTTTGGTATGAAAGAAAATATAGAGGCAAACGTGACCTGTATGATTAAAGTATTAGGATAAAGAACACAAAAGTTATCGTGTAGTTTTATTGTTGGAAAAAGTAGGATATAGATTATTCTTACGTTATGCTTTTAGATTATTTTGTGTTTTAGTTCATATTTTTAGATTGTCGATGGTTTTCTCTTTTGGTTAAATAATTTCTATGAAGTAAAATGTTAATTAACTTTAATTAGATAGCCTAAGAAAGTAATTATATTAATAGGATTCCTAAAGGTAATCATGTAGGATTACTAACGTGTAGTATTATATCCTAAAACTAATAGGATTATAAGACTAATATCTATAATTCCGGTTATGTCCTTTTATTATGAGTTATTATGCTTAGTATTATAAGGTTATTTTTGTAAACCGACATTGTATTCATGCTTTTATAATAATATAGATATTATAGTATAGTATTCAAAATTTTTTTTAAAAAAAGGCCCGGCCCACTTAAGCCCACTTAGGCCCGGGACTGGTCCACTTAGCCCGGGACCATTAGTTAGTGGTCCCGGTCCCGGACCGGTTCCTACCAAAAAGCCCACGAAGCCCGGGACCACTTAGGACCGGCCTACGAAGCCCGGGCCCACTTAGGACCGGCCCACGAGGCCTGTTTAGGGCTGGGCCCGGCCTACATTACACCCCTACTCTCTCCAGATCCTCATCTCTTTCTCTTCTCTCTCTTCTTGTCATTATTATTCTCTCTTTTCTCCCCTTTTTATTTCTTTCCTTGCCCTTTCTCCCTTCTCCCCTGTGTTGCAACATCAATCTTAGTATCAGAAGCTATACCAAAAAAAAGCTCTCTTTCATTCTTTTCTTTCGATATTCTCCACATGAGTGCGATAGGTATTGCTTCCTATGCCTGTTTTCACGGTGTGATATGCCGAGACCCCTAACAGAGGAAGGAGGGATTGGTGGGGATTTGGCGGAAGTTCAGTTAGTTAAGTTAAACTTTCTAGTGTGAAATTTATCCTTGTTATTTTATTTTCTTGATAAGTAACTTACCCTTATATTTTATTGTGATGATTGTTTCCTTTGTTGTTTGTTTGATTGGTTAAAATTGTTCACTTAATAGTTTATGTTTTTCTTCTTCATTTTATTGTCACTTGTATTGCTATTTGTTGTTATTGTGCCATTTTGCAGGTCTTGCCGTTGCTTATGGAGAAGTTTTCATTCGAGGAGCAGGCATCATTGGTATGGCAGTTTCTGTGCAGCATCCCCGTGAATATGATGGCTGAATTTCTGCCTTGGCTTTCATCCTCTATTTCGGCCGATGAGTGCAAAGATATGCATAAGTTCTTACACAAAGTAATTCCGGATGAGGAGCTTCTTCAAGAGGTGAGTTAGCTTGCTTATAGATGGTAAAGACCTTTGTTAAGTATAGCATAATTGATAAAATTCCCCTTTCTTGAAGATTATGTTTACCTGGATGGATGGAAAAAAGTTGACAAACAAACGCAAGGCTTGCGAAGGGAGTACAAAGCACCATAGTTCAGATTCTGTTGTTAGAGGCTTAATCAGTCAGGCGGAGGATGCTCCTTGTCCTTGTGAATCTTCTAGAAGTGAATTTCTAGCCTCAAATTTCAACCTTAAAGAATCCACTTTAAATCGTCCAGTTGATGAGATACTGCATTGGCACAAGGCTATTAGAAAGGAATTGAATGACATTACAGAAGCAGCTAGGGAAATAAAGTTGTCTGGGGATTTTTCTGATTTGTCCGCTTTCAACCAGAGGCTTCAATTTATTGCTGAAGTTTGTATCTTCCATAGGTACGTGACATCATTATTATGCATAGCCGTTTGAAGTTTTGGCTTTGAACTAATTTTGATGGATTAAGATAAACTGCTAGCGTGCTTGAATCTGGTTCATTCATACTGTTTGCGTAATTTGGCTGCAGCATTGCCGAGGACAAAGTTATATTTCCTGCAATAGATGCAGAAATATCTTTTGCCCAGGAGCATGCCGAAGAAGAAAACGAGTTTGATAAATTTAGATGCTTGATAGAAAGCGTTCAGAGTGCTGGATCCAACTCAACTTCTGTAGAATTCTATTCAAAACTGTGCTCACAAGCTGATCATATAATGGAGACAGTGGAGAGACACTTCTGTAATGAGGAGGCTCAGGTGAGTAATCTCAGAATTGCAAAGATTCTGCAAGTTCAAGGTCTCTGTCTATAAATATCTCCCCAAGTAACATAAAATAATTGTTTCTAAAGTGATGAAAGCAAGCGTGGTGTCTTCTTGCTATCTGAAATACTCAGATGTCCTTGTTGCCGTTGACAACTTAAAACCCAAGAGTTAATAGTAATTGGTCTTGATTATTTGGATTCTGTGTGATTCCAGGTTCTTCCGCTTGCACGAAAGCATTTTAGCCCCAAACGGCAGCGGGAACTCCTTTACCAGAGCTTGTGTGTTATGCCACTTAGACTCATCGAATGCGTCTTACCTTGGTTGGTAGGATCATTAAGTGAGGAAGAAGCAAGGTCTTTCCTTCAGAATATGCATATGGCAGGTAAAGCCTAATTCCTACTGTTTGATTTAATTAGAACTTGGTTTCAGTGTCGACAATGATGGAAAGTAGACCTGTTTACCCCATCTGATTCAGTTTTCTAATGCAGCACCAGCATCAGACACTGCTTTGGTCACACTTTTCTCAGGTTGGGCATGCAAAGGTCGTCCAGCGGACAATTGTTTTTCTTCAAGTGCAATTGGTTGCTGTCCTGCTAAAGTTTTAGCTGGGAAGAAAGAGAACTTAGGTAAATGTTGTGGTATCTGCACTTCTTCAAGAAATGTCAATTGTAGCATGTCGCATAGTGAGCAAAGTAATGGTGAAAGGCCAACCAAGCGTGCAAATTTAATGTCAAAGGAGAAATGCTATCGTCATGATCCTTCAGGAGGTTTAGAATTTCGGAAAGGATCAACTGGTAATCAGTCTTGTTGTGTTCCTGCATTAGGCGTCAGTGTAAATAAACTGGGAATAAATTCCCTAGCTGCAGCAAAATCATTGCGCACTTTTAGCCCAAGTGCTCCTTCTCTGAACTCCTGTCTTTTCAACTGGGATACCAGCTTGATCAATGGTGGATACGCAACACGGCCAATTGATAATATTTTTCAATTTCACAAGGCTATTCGAAAGGATTTGGAATTTCTGGACGTTGAATCTGGAAAACTCACTGATTGCGATGAGACTTTTCTGAGAAAATTTTGTGGTCGATTTCGTCTCTTGTGGGGCTTGTATAAAGCTCACAGTAATGCAGAGGATGATATAGTATTCCCAGCTTTGGAATCAAAAGAGACGCTTCATAATGTTAGCCATTCTTACACCTTGGACCACAAACAGGAAGAAAAGCTATTCGAGGACATTTCATCTGCACTTGCTGAGCTTTCTCTGCTCCGAGAAACCTTGAATGGTGGGAATTCATTAAAAGGTCCTTGTAGAAACTCTGGTTCTTGTGACTTAAATGAATATTCAAGAAAATACAATGAGCTAGCAACTAAAGTTCAAGCTATGTGCAAATCAATAAAAGTAACCCTGGATCAACATGTTATACGGGAGGAAGTTGAGCTATGGCCGCTGTTTGACCGTCATTTTAGCATTGAAGAACAAGACAAACTAGTTGGTAGGATAATAGGAACAACTGGGGCAGAAGTACTTCAGTCAATGTTGCCCTGGGTAACTTCTGCTCTTACTCAGGAGGAACAAAATAAGATGATGGAGACATGGAAGCAAGCAACCAAAAACACAATGTTCAGTGAATGGCTCAATGAATGGTGGGAGGGAACGCCAGCTGAAACTTCCCAGACATCAAGCTCAGAGAACAGTGTACGAGGTTGTTGCGATGCTTCTATTACTTATTAGTTTTATTCATGTCTGTTCTCCGCTCTTAAGATGTTGCATAAGATATTTACATTAGACAAGGCTATTATTGGAACTGAATTAGCAGATCTAGAATGACTTTTTCTCAATAATCTTTTTAGCATCTAAAATTATGTCTTTTCAGGGTATGAGTTTTCTGAATCTCTAGAACATAGTGATTCCACTTTTAAACCTGGATGGAAGGACATATTTCGGATGAATCAAAATGAGCTAGAGTCAGAGATACGGAAGGTCTCCCGAGACTCTTCACTTGATCCGAGAAGAAAAGCATATCTTATTCAAAATCTCATGACCAGGTTTGTTTTCAGTGAAGCCATCATCTAAAACCTTTGTGATTGCTATCTTTGTTATTTATTCATGTAACCTATTGAGCATCTGTTGTTCAGTCGCTGGATAGCTGCTCAGCAGGACTCTGAAGCAAGATCTGTTGAAACTCCAAATGGTCAAGATGAAATTGGATGTTCACCTTCATTTTGTGATCCAGATAAGAAAGTGTTTGGATGTGAACATTATAAAAGAAACTGCAAGCTCCGAGCTGCTTGCTGTGGCAAAATATTTCCATGCAGATTCTGTCATGACAAAGTCAGTGACCATTCTATGGATAGGTAAATCGTTGGCCTCGTATTTGTTTCTAATAAAACTCCATTCCATGTTTAATTTTTCTAGTAATTTGCAGGAAGGCGACAACTGAAATGATGTGTATGAACTGCCTGAAAATACAACCAGTTGGACCTTCTTGCACGACTCCATCCTGTAACGGCCTCTCAATGGCAAAATATTACTGCAGCAGCTGTAAATTTTTTGATGATGAAAGGTGATACTTCAGTGACCCTACTTGTTTGTAGTTGATGACTTGATGTAGTAGGTTGAATCGCATAGTGAACACCGAGTTATAGGATTTACACTATTGGAAGATTAGATCAGGCTCTGCTTATTTTTCTTGGTTGTTAAACATCATTAATAAGATATTCTGCTTATCATTTCAATTAAAAAGAATGATAGTCTCCTTACAATTTTTCCTTTTCTGCAATATGTTACTTGCTTCATTTAGGTTTAAAAGAGTGAAAGTTCTCCCTATTCTCAATGTTTTAAGAGGCATGCTTAAGCCTGGAAGCTATTTGCAGCACAAGTTGGAGTATCGCCTCGTCTAAATGGTGTTTCAGTGCAAGCACCAAGAAGCTAAGGCAAATGTGCCTCAGTGTCCATGTGCTTTGTCTTGAAGCGAGCGGCACTAGACAATAAACATAAACGGCAAGTGTTAAGCAATTGTTATGGATGAATATGTTAGCGATCCGGATTAGGAAATTAGAAACTTAGTATAAGAAAATTAGTCAGTGGATTTGAATCAGAAACTTAAACAACATCGTTACATTTGAATCAGAAATGGTTTTTACTTCAAATACTTATTCAATTGTTTCTCCAATTTCTTGTTCATATAATTATCATTTGTGATTATACTTACTTTTTTGCGCATCACAAACATATATCTTATTGTTTTCTTGGTCTAGCATGTGTTCACTAAATCAGGTGCTTTAGATGGGCTATGCACTTAAAGTCCCAAAAGATCTTTAGTGCTTTTCTTTGCTTTTTTACCTTTTTAACACTGGCAACATTTGAAAATCATTAGATTTGATGCCTGAATGTAGAGATTCTAGAACTAGATTCTAAATGCTACAACAGGTGTTCTCCAGTCTTCCGTTCAAAATAGTGGCCCTTCTATTTATTTTTGAAGTTCTTTCTTGAAGCCAGTAATGCATAACTAATTGCTTACACAAATTCTTGCTAAGTCAATTTCCTAAAACATCACACCCTGCCCCTGCATTTGTAAAGGTTTGTTTTGTCAATTTTGATCAAACTCACATGAAAATCGTTTCAATACCTGATTCAATATTTCCTAAAGTTCAAGGATGGAGTCTTGTACGTGTTGCAAGATGATAAATACATACCTCTAATAGAGCTTTGATCTTGATTTTCTCTATTTCTATTATTTCCTACTTCAGGACAGTGTATCATTGCCCGTTCTGCAATTTATGCCGGCTGGGGCAAGGACTAGGTGTTGACTTCTTTCATTGCATGACCTGCAATTGTTGCCTGGGAATGAAACTTGTGGACCACAAATGCAGGGAGAAGGGTCTCGAAACCAACTGTCCAATATGTTGCGACTTTTTATTCACGTCAAGCGAAACTGTCAGGGCTCTGCCCTGCGGGCATTTTATGCATTCAGCATGCTTTCAGGTCTGTTCGTCACTTTTCTGCTGGGATTTGCTCATACATTTGCTGTCAGAAAGGATATTGTGTTGTTTATTAGAAATCAAGTTTGAACTAAAAGCAATCTCTTTATTTCCTCAGGCATATGCTTGCACACACTACATCTGTCCCATTTGCAGCAAGTCTATGGGAGATATGTCGGTAAGCGATGTTCATCCTTCATTAGATGAATTTTCGCAGAATAGTGATGGTTGTTTGTGTAAATTCATAGCATCATATGTAGACACAAGAATATTGTGTATAATTCGTTAAAGTTTTGAAACATAGACTATAAAAATATAACGTACTGTTTAATTTTCTTTTTCTGGTGTAAAGAATGAACTTCCAGGTTGCATTAACAGTTGCTTTAATTTTTCAGAGGGCTAGAGTATAGTTATATTACCTCTATGTGTAGTCAACACTAACTTGGTGTGTTTGTGATCTAACTTATTTGATTTAAATATTTCCTTTCTAGAAAAAGAAACTGCATCAAGCCTATAAAATGGGACAGATGAAGGTGCATGTGCTTGTCAAGCTAGCTTTTTCTTACATAAACAGGAGTGCTTGTTTTTTTGTTTGTTTGTTTGTGAATTCTTCTATTAATCCACCATTTTGTACTCAGTTATAAACCTTGCCTGATCCACGATGGAGTCTTATCTATTTGTTAGAAAAAGAGAAGTATATATATATTCTTCTGCAAAATCAATCATGCAACTGAAGCATGTAACATCATACTCTTATTATGCTACTCCTTTTACCTTGTTTATGAACATACTCGTGGATGTACTTTGATATTCTTATTTAATGAAATCTTAGCCATATTAAGAAAGAAAAAGAACGTTGTCTTTGACCATATTCTATAAAGAAGTCACATTGTCTACTCATTTCTTGTGGATTTTAATAGAATGTAGCCATATATATTTCTTACTTCGAAACCTTTCAATCTTTATGTTTCCTTTTTTTCTTGTTCTGTTCTATTATATTTTGTGCTCAGATGAAGAATGATCTCAACTTCTGTCTTCTCTTGTAGGTGTATTTTGGGATGCTTGATGCTTTAATGGCTTCTGAGGTGCTACCGGAAGAGTTTAGGAACCGATGCCAAGTAAGGAATCTCAGTTTTATTTCCTTAACAACTTTTATGCGTATTAAATTATTGAAACTTTTACTCAAGATTTTTATATGAAATTTCTCTAGGATATATTGTGTAACGACTGTGGTAAGAGGGGAATTGCACCATTTCATTGGCTATATCACAAGTGTTCATCTTGCGGATCCTACAATACCAGAGTTATAAAGGCGGAAACAAGTCCTAATTGCTCCAGCTAATGTTGAAGACCTGTTGGATTCCCCTCTCATAGAATTACGTACTTCTATACATCAAATTATTTAGCGCGAGCTCAATACATAGGTTTGTAAAATATGAGCATTCACTGTCACCAAAATTTTGTCATTGTTGTACACAACATGCTGTTTCTGCAAATTCACGTTACGAGCATGAAGTGTGTTACTGGCCTTTTCCATTCCGTAATGCATGAATGCATTTCCCACCTGCATACTACAGAGTCAGGCACTGATATAAAACGAAGAAAAGCAGATAGAAGCCACATTTGAGGCTTTTGGCTTGTAAGTACTATTTTTTTCCTTATTTTCCCCTCTTTAAAGAGGCGGCAAGATTCTTTATGGAATGATTTTGCAGAGGACCAGTTCAGAACCGAATGTTTTCATTTGCTTTGGCTGTTGTATCAGTGCATCACTCTTAAGTTCAGATATTATGATAATGAGTTCTGTGGGCAGAACTTGAAAATTATAATACTCTGTGGACCCTGTAGAAATAGAACATACTCATTCCACAAGTAAAAGGGTTTCTTAATTTATGCATTTTCTTATTAATAGTACTCCACTGCTTCTTTTCATCTTCTCTGGGTCTATCGGAAACAACCTCTTTGCCTCCCTAAGGTAGGAGTAAGGCATGTGTACACATTATCCTCTCCCGACCCTACTTGTAAAAATTCATTGGGTTTGATGTTGTTATATTAATATAACCGTGGACTAAATCAGTACGCTTTGTTAGCCGGTCATCAACTTGAATACACAGGTAGATTTGCCTAAATCTGGAAACATACTGATTTTATGCGCAGGGTCAGAAATTCAAGTGGTAATTCTATGAATAAGAGCACTGCTTTCATTCAGTATGAGACGGTATAGTTAGGTTTGCTTGACATTCAATGGGCGTGGTGCGAATGCGATAGTTGGGATAAACAGAGATCTTATATTCGAGTTTTGAAAATAGATAACTTTTCAGTTGGGAGAATTTTGGCCCCCCATTATTAGTAGGTTTATTAAAGAGGAAAATCAAGAAAAAGAGATGCAAACAAAGGGAAGATAAAGGGAATTCGAAATGACCATGTCAAACAGCGTTCCGTTAATCTTTGGAAAAAGAATAATATCACAATTTTTGCGTACAATTTAATTCACTCTTAGATGTAAGTAAAAGAGTCATGACTTCCTTATTAAGGCAGCAATATTTTCAACAATATACAAAATTAACTAATCAGCCATCAAGTTCAACATCAGAAACTGACCCGAACATCTCATCTCTTGCTAGTAATGAAGACAAGGAAAGGAGCGAGCAAAGCTATATCAATGAAAAAGCACGACACAATGACGATGCACAAAAACTTAATTTTGATTGATATTAAATAAATAGATCAAAAAAATTAGTATGGTAGGTAAATTGCATGAAATGACAATTTTGACTTTGTGACATGTCATCTTGATTGATTTGACTATATCAACATTGCATTTTTCTAATACCAAATAATTTTCATTACTAAAGCAAAAGAGATAGCACTTGCTAATAAAGGAAGCAATATTCAACATGACACAATCAACTAAATCATATCCCAAGTTCAATATGAGAAAATGAATTCTAAATTCGCTTCTTTTGCTAGTGTGAAACCAAGAGAAGCATTATTACACTATAATAGAACTTATGTGTAATGCAAGTCCATTACTTAAATTAGTACTATAATACCCTATTTCTAAAAAAGATGGCATTATACTATAATAGAATAATGTTATGTTTTATGTGAAAAATAAAAAGAGTAACTAAATCTATATAAACAATGCTAGATTTAAGGTGGAGATTATTTCTTCTTATTTCTGTAACCAAATGACACTTAATAGAATTCGTGTTCTTTTTTTGTTATACTATTAGAGGGTGTTTGGCTAAGCTTATAAGCTGATCAAACTGGCTTATATGCATATTTTGGCTTATCTACGCGTTTGGTAAATATCCAAAGTGCTTATAAGTCAAGTGCTTATAAGCTAAAATCAGCCATAAGTGATAAGCTGGTCACCCCCAACTTATAGTTTTTCAGCTTATAAGCACTTTTAGTTTGACCATGACTTTTACTAGTTTATCCTTAATAATATTTTTTAATTCACAAAATATTATTCCAAAATAAATTTTTTAATTTTCTCTTCATTCCATATTAAATCAGCACTTGTATCCAAACACGTAACTGCTTATTTATTAAATCGGCTTCAACACTTAAAAGTACTTTTCAGCACCTAATACTTATCAGCTACTTCAGATCAGCTAATCCAAACGGGCTCTTACTCTTGTTGGAATACCATTTATTTTTATAAATCATGACATGTTATTTTTAAAGCAAATGAGGAAAAATCACACCCAAGAAAATGTTTTTTTTTTACAAGAAAATGTTATTTTTGCTTCTTATAGTAGTAGTAAATTTTGGGTGCACCTTTCAAAAACGGAGCTTTTTCAAAATTTGAGACGGCAAATCAAAAGCTCCAATTTTGAAACTTTGAGCTCATATTTGCGCGTAAGAGTCTCATCACACAAACTTCTGAAGAAATAATTGAAGGTCTCTGGTTTCATCCGTTATTCTCCTCAGGTAAATTCCCTAAAACCCTAGCTATATTTCTTCCTCTTTTTCTTCTATATATTATTTCATCGATTTAGAATCTTTATGTTAGATCTCTTGTAGCTATTATTTTGGAATTACGTTTGTTTTGGTAAATAATTCACCTGATTTTTAATAGAAAAATTTCTTCTTGATATTAATACTTATTGAATACCTTTGGCATTAATCCAATTTCGTGCCAAAATCTTGATCAGTTTCTCTCGAGTTTTAATGGGTTTGTGTTGATATTTTCTCTTTGTTTGTAGATTTTGCGGCATCAAGGTTTTATTGATTATTTTGATTTTTTGAGTAATTCCAAACTTTTAAAAAGGGAAGTGCGGAAAAGGGTGTAGTAATGAGTGGTATAAAAATGGAGGGGACATCGGCTCCAACAGTAAGGCGAGACCCGTATGAGGTGTTGTCTGTTTCAAGGGATTCGTCTGATCAGGAGATTAAGACTGCTTATAGAAAGCTTGCTCTCAAGTAAGTTATCCCTACACACAAATATTCCCAATTTAAATTCATAGTTAGTTTTGTTATAATGGAAGAAAAACATCTATATATGCAATACCTATTAATCACTCCGTTCCAATTTAAGTGACATTACATTTGTGTCGTTATAAGACCTTCGGAACTTGTGGTCTTAAACATGACATAACATTTGTGTGGCTATAAAAAGCTTCTCATAAAGGGTAAAGTGAAAAGTTTAAAGTTAAGTTGTTTCCAAATATAGAAATGTGTCATTCTTTTGGAAAGGGACTAATAAGTAAATAGTGTCACATCAATTGGAACGGAGGGAGTAGTTGAGAATATATTTTAGGCGTGTTAGCTCTTTTACTTTATGTCCCACAATTTTCTAGGAAACACTTAGCCTTTCAGAGATTTATATGTCAATAGAAATGTAATGAACTTCTAGTACTTTTTATTTGTTTTATTTGGATAACAATGGCCCGAGAGAGTTTAAATGGAGTGAAATGATGAGTGAGGATTCATATAGCTGACTCCAAGTTGTTTGGGAGTTTGGACTAAGGCATAGTTGTTATTGGAGTTTAACTGTGGCTTTGGAATGAAAGGACCTATATATAGCAGAATAGATGCAGAAGATTTATATAGCTGACCTAACTAGTTGGAATTAAGGCGTTGATTGATTGATTGAGTGATGGTATTTAGCCGAGGTTTAAGTGTAACCAGTAACCTAAACTGAAATTTGGTGTGGATTGTGGTGATCTGTGTATGCATTTTGTTGGTATTTGTCTTGAGCTTGTTGGTAAGCACATGGAGATTATTGAGTTTCAGTTGTAAGCCAAAACTCGTGTAATTTAGTGGTCAAGTAATTAATTAAGTAATCTGAAGATTGACATATATTGTCATCTGAAGGAAATAAAATACAGATGGGAGGGACTTGCTTGCGCAGTACTTTGTCATATGATATATCAGTCTAGAAGTGGCCAGATGGAAAAAACCGATGGTGATAGGAAGTTAATGTGGTTATACAGGAAAAAATAAAAACAACTTTTAGGGCTATTTGTTGGGAGTTGGGTACTTCTCAATTTGATACTTGTTCTTGTGGATGAATAATTTAGCGGAAATTATTGGCAGGTATCATCCTGACAAGAATGCTAGCAATCCCGAAGCTTCAGAACTCTTCAAGGAGGTTGCGTACTCATACAACATTCTATCTGATCCAGAGAAAAGGAGGCAATATGATATGGCCGGCTTTGAGGTACTCACCCCCTGTCCACTGTAAACTATATATATATATAATATTATTTTTTGATCAGGTAAAAATACATTTTTCTCTACAAGGTCGTTCATCACGAGTAATGACATATCACAAAAAAGTCTTTTACTATTTTTCTGTTTTTATAGACTGAAATAATGGATAATAGTTCTTTCATTTGATTCGTATCACCTTACATTTGCTTGTTATGTATTAATGTGCTTTTCAATGAGGTGACTGATTTAGCAGTAGAAAGAAAGAAGTTCAAAGTAGTGTTATCAAAGGCGCGCTTAAAGCGCGCTTAAGCCCTAAAGCGAGGCTTAAAACACGTAGAATGCTTCGCCTCGCTTAACGGGCGCTTCAGTGTTGTCATCAAGGCGCTAAGGCATGCTTTTCTATGCCAATAAGCGTAATCCTGAAGAGGCGACACTAAACAATTGATATTTCACTTTATCGTAAATTCTCTTCAATTTTTTGGTTCATATATTTGGTATTCATGCTTATAGATATTAGTCTTGGACTATGTACACATATTTGTAGTTTTACTCTATTTGCCTTTCTTCCTTAAGCCCACGTTTTATTTGCGCTTAAAGCCCCAACAGACCTTAGAGCTTTTTTGCGCTTTTCGCCTTTGATGACATTAGTACAAAGAGAACTCTGGATGTTCTTGATCTCAAGAAGGAATAGAAATAAGAGTTTGGGTAGGCTATATAGCTGTAAGATAAGTTGTAGCTTTATGGCTTCAATCAAAGAATATTTAGTCATTTGTATTCACAAGTCAAAACTATACATGGGCCCTTTAGGTGCCGACAATATAAACTTAGCATATCGTAAAGGTTCAGCAAGATGTAGATACTTGAAGGTTGCAAGATAATGCTGCAGCAATCTGGATGTTGGAAATGCAACTCCGTTCGTTCTCGAAGTTCCCTTTCTGTTGTATTTGGGGAATATTCAATAGGTTTAAAGTTGAAAAGTCATCCTGTCAGCTGCAGTTATCTGGACTCTTCAGTTCTCCTTGACATATCTAGTCGAGGATTGTTTATAGGTCCCCGAATTATCTAAGAAATATGCTACAATAGAACATGTAAACATTTTTTGTTCTTAACATTAGTAGCATAAGGTGTTTATATTGGTGTTACAAGAGTTTTCTAATGCCAATATCCTCTAGTTCGAAGGTTATGGTGCATCTTAGTGATGTGGTATTCATGGAACAAGTGTATAAAATTTTATGCCAGTATTAAGCTGTTATAAAACCATCGAGGTAGGTAATATCTTAATCTGGTTACAATAGGCATTATGTATTAGAAGCCAGAGTTCCAATTCTGTCTAATTTTATTAGCAAATTATAGCTAATAAAACCTCTTTAATCTACGACGCTCAAGGAATGGCTTTTGCCGACTCTTTTCACATTTTGTTTTGAATTTAAGGCTATTGAAGCTGAAGGAATGGATATGGAAATTGATTTGTCCAACCTTGGAACTGTCAACACAATGTTCGCAGCATTGTTTAGGTAAGTCTGCCTCCTCAAATTTGTTTTTTTTTTGGTGGTGCTTTTGATTAGTTTTGTTAAATTTGTCTTTTTTCCTGGATAGCAAGTTGGGTGTCCCTATCAAAACAACTATTTCTGCTAATGTTCTTGAAGAAGCTTTGAATGGAACTGTCACAGTCCGCCCCCTTCCAATTGGCACTTCAGTCAGTGGAAAGGTAGAATTTAATTGTCCTTTCAAGTGGCAGGATAAAATCTTTATGCTGTACCAGGGTTGACATCACCTGAGCTTTAATGCAGGTAGAAAAGCAAAATGCTCATTTTTTTGGTGTAACAATTAGTGATGAACAAGCAGAGGCAGGGATTGTAGTAAGAGTTACTTCAGCTGCCCAAAGCAAATTCAAGGTACAGTGTAGATGTATACAATTATATGATAGTTATTTTGATGCACTTTTTAAATGGTACCTATATGTTTTCATGCTTTTGTGTTTTCTACTTTGTGTTGTATGTTGCGATACTAAAACTGAATTTCATTTACTTTTCAGCTACTATATTTTGAACATGATGCAAATGGGGGTTACGGCCTGGCCTTGCAGGTAATGCATTTTACACTTTTGATTCTTCATTGTGTGCTTAGCGAGGATTTGTATAGCCAGTTATTGTGTGCTTAAGATATTTCTTGCTCTAGATTTCCATTGAAGAACCTTGATGTATGTGGCTAGGGAATAGTAAAGCAGTAAGGTGGACCTCCATAGGAAATTTCATTACTGGAAAGCTAAAACACGGTACCTAAAAATTAGCTATTAGAGGACCTCGGTAGATGTGCCGAGAGCATTTTAGAAAGACAACTTTCTACTGGTTTATTCAGATTATCTCCATGTAACATAAGTTTGAATTGAGTTCTCCTGGAATTCTTGTCATAGTCTTGACAAAAAGTTTCTGCTGTTAAACTCTGGTTGAAGCCTAGCCAGCATCATAAGTTTAACCCCTGCAGAGGTCCCCGTGAGTTGCATTAGACCAATATAACATACTTTCTAAAAAAATTCTCCAGTATGCTGATAAAAGGTTTCTGCTGTTAAACTCAGGTTAAAGCTTAACCACCAATCATTAGTTTAACCTGAAGAGGTCTCCCGAGCTGCATTTGATCAATATAACTTAGCTGTTAGAAGTATCACTTTATTATGGTCAATAGAGAGAGAAACTCCTACTTCTCTCAGAGGCAACGAAAATGGAATCTCATTCTTTCAAGGAAGCTCTGATTTGGTCAGCGTTGATCCTAGATGGGGATTGCAGGAGGGTTGATACCGGGTTTGAACTCATTTTTAGATTGTCTAGGGACCATATCATGGCAACGAAGGAGTATCTTAAGACCTGCTTGGTTGGGAATTTGAGGAGAATGTGGTCTCAACGGAGGTGGCAACTGATTGGGCTTTGGAGACTTGGTAAGTGATGACGGGGCTGAAAGTGTCGGCGATGGGAGGTAACACCTTTCTGTTTTCATTTTGCTTCTGAAGTCGATACCCGTGTGCTGGGTGAGGGATTGAGATGGATGTGGGGAAGTTATCTTCTGTTAGAAAGGTGCGGTGAGACTTCTGGCTGCAAAATTCAGAAAAGGAGGGAGGATATTCTGGTGTTGAACGTGGTTGTTTGGCGGCACATTGTTGGTGCATTGAGTTGTTTAGAAAGTGGCTTCATTGATGTTCACTATAATCTGGCGGACCTTGCTAGGGTTAGGGTGCTTGTTAGGAGGAAAGGTACCAGTGTCTATGATGGTGGGGGGGGGGGGGGGTATTTTAATTTCAGTGTCTGGCTAACATTTGAATTTAACCTAAAATATTGGTTAAGGAGATTGAAAGAGGGGGAATGAGGGAGGAGAAGAGAGAGCGGGTTGAAGAGGGACCTAAAAAGGGCAGGTTTTGGGGGGGGGGGGGTAGTTTGATGCCGGAAAGAAATGGCGAAGCGGCAATGGCAGGCTGGGCGGCGGGTAATTGGACAACAACATTATTTGCCTTTGGATTAGTGAACCAGTCTTCAACCTATAAATAATGTTGTCCAAATTTAACGGTCGTTTCAGAGGGAGTAAAGAGTAGCAAGTTGGTGATTGAAGAGGGATTTTGTTTTGACAACTTCCCCAACAAGATTAGTGATTTGCTTGTCTGGTGCTCCCTTTTTGATAAAATTTAACCGTGTTCTGGCCACATTGTCAATTTACTTTAGTTGAATGATATTAATCACCAGTGTAGGAAAGTAAACCATTTCTCAAGAGAGAGTGATTTGCTTTTCTTGGACTGAATTGGATGTGAAACTGCTGCATGCAATGACTAAAACTTGTGGAGTTCAACTTGTACTGGATTGGTAATCTTAATCGTAAGAATGACGAAGCTCATTGATACTAGACTTGATATCTTTATCATAAGAATGTAAAAGTTTTACTCGTCCAAATACCTCAAAATTCTACCTGCACTCTGGTTCACATCTTGCTATATAAGTGTATCTTTGACCTTAGAGTGGCACTATCTTCAGGTCTTTCTTTTCACTTGTAATTTCCAAATATTTGTAAATCTTCTCTGTTTATGAGCTTGTAAACTGGAATTTTTAGATGAGTATTTATTGCTTACGTTCTTGTCTTTGCTCCAAGCAATTTAATGATTGGCACTATTTCCTAATAAAACTGACTCATCCTCTATTTACAGGAAGATAGTGAGAAAGCCGGCAAGGTAACCTCTGCGGGAATGTATTTCTTGCACTTTCAAGTGTACAGAATGGATTCAACTGTAAATGCGGTATGTGAATTTCATTTTAGTGGTTAAATTCAATAGCGTAGCATGCAGCGCCGTCAGAAGTGACAATAATTGTGCTGATGCAGTTAGCAATGGCCAAAGACCCTGAAGCTGCTTTCTTTAAGAGGCTGGAGGGCCTTCAACCTTGTGAGGTCTCAGAACTAAAAGCTGGCACTCACATATTTGCTGTTTATGGTCTGAGCTTGCTTATTTTTGTTGAATACATTGTCTTTATTTTTGGGAAAAACTAGCTAATTGCTACTAATTATGCAACTGCTAAAAGAAAATTTTATCTGATGTCTGCAGGAGATAATTTCTTTAAACCTGCTAGTTATACTATTGAGGCTCTGTGTGCCAAGACATACGAGGACACAACTCATAAGCTCCAGGATATTGAGGCTCAGATTTTGAGGAAGAGAAATGAGCTTCGACAGTTTGAAACAGAATATAGAAAGGTTGTCTATCTGCTCATAGACAATGTTTATCGTGAGATCTTTTACGCTTCATGCTTCCTCATTTCACTATTTTCCATTTGATGTTTACAGGCATTGGCACGGTTCCAGGAAGTGACCAATAGATATAGCCAGGAGAAGCAGTCTGTAAGTTTCTTTCTTACCTAAGTTTCATTACAAAAATAGGCTGTGATTATTTGTTAGTTACACAGTAGGTTTACCTGTCTATTGTTTGTTAGTTATGGAGAAAAGAATCATATGTGAGTGACCTACATTTCTCTGAGTGATGCTATTTATGTAAAGGTCGACGAGCTGCTTAAACAGCGAGACAGCATCCACTCTTCATTCACGGTTACAAGGACAGTTGCTACCATAAGTGGCAGTGGGAGTGGGCATTTCAGTAACGGAAGTAGCAGTAAACTATCTGGCGAAGACTTCAAAGCCGATAGCCCAAGTGAAGATGGCAGTTCAGACTCCAAGGAGAAATACTCGAAACGAAAATGGTTTAACCTTAACCTCAAAGGATCTGATAAGAAGTAATCGAACTGGTGGTTATCTGTAATATAAATCCTATGAATTCCCAATTCCATCCTCGCCGCCAAGGATGAAGGCTGCCTGCTAGTTTGCTACCTGAAGAAATCTCTTCATGTATTCTTTGTTCAATTTGTTGGTATTGCTTGGGCTCCGCGAGGCGTTTTCTTTTTCATTTTTTTTTTCCAAATTTCATTTTTTTGGGCATGTGAAGTCTGATTTCTGTCGAATGACTGCAAGATATAGAAGGTTTTTGTTCCTGTATTTGTACTTCTGATTTGTGTTGTATCATAATGTACTAGTCAATGGACTACAATTTTTTTTGTCTTTTGAACAAATCTAAGTCTTTTAGGTTTTGTAATTTCAGTGAATGTTTCTACCTTATAAAAGTGGGAATGGTATCATTTCATATGATTGAAGAAATATGGGTTAATGATTTTAAATCAGTGATTTAGAGTAGACCCCTACTAGGAAACTTAATTAGCACAAACTTCCTATCTCATTCTGGTTTCTTATCCGGTGTTTGGTGCCCATATTAGTACCTGACTAATCTGAATTAGAATTGAGCTTAAACCCGAGACCTTTAGTTAAGGACGGAGAGATCCTATCTATCCCGCCACAACATTTTCTTCTCCTATCTCATTCACTGCCTCGTGCTAACCAAAAGAATTGAAATATAGGGTGTGTTTGGCATGAAGGCGGAAAATGTTTTCCAATTTTCCCATGTTCGGTTGGCTTAAATGTTTTGGAAAATATTTTCCTTATGAACTCATTTTCCTCCAATTGGAAGAAAATATTTTCCTTATCAAGAGAAAGCCTTTTAGAGGGCTTTCGGATAGTTAGGTACCGGCTATCAGTAAAGGAAGCATATGCCTCTAACTCAGTTCATTCCCTATATGGTAATGGTAGGTACGCCGGTACCCCTTTTTTGGTTCAACCAAGGTAGGCTCGTGCTCGGGTTCACTCGTGAAAGGAAGGTTCTAGCGGTAAAGTAAAGAAAATCCTCCCTTCTTGCTTCCTTAGGGTACGCCCCCAATCGCCTTTTACTTGAATGATGCTATAAATCTTCATCAAAGTGCTTATTTTTTTATAATTGAACAAAAGCGAGTCTGAATGGGTATACTTAGTCGTGGAGCATTCCGAGTATTTGCTGGGAAAATATTTTCCGAAACTCCTTCTCAACCTTCCCTACCCTCACCAACCCACCCCACCCCCACCCCTCCCGCAAAAAAATATTATTTTTTTACATTATTTTCTTTTATTGCAATTTCAAATTTCTGTTTTTTCGTTTTCTGCACCACCCACCCCCAACTGCGTCTACTTACCCCCCCCCCCCCCCCTAAAAAAAAAAATTATAATTTTTAATATATTTTTCAGTTTTAGTTTTTTTATTTATCGGTTTAAAGGTTCAAAATTTTACAAGTTCCAAAGTTATGAGTTCAGAGGTTTATGTGTTTGGAAGTTTACGGGTTAGAAATTTCGCGGTTTCGAAAGTTTATGAAAAATGTGGGTTCGGAAGGTTGTTGGTTTGAAAGTTTATGACTTCATGTTTATTATATCTAAATTATTTATGAATACTCTAGAGAAGTCATTTTCCTTAATTTGCGTACCAAACATCGGAAAATAAATAAGATTACTTGTTTTCCAAGAAAACATTTTCCATGGAAAACATTTTCTGTTATACCAAACACACCCATAAAGAAGTCCCTTTTACGTTGAATTTCTTCCATTAAGATGGAAACACAATACAAATTCTTTTGGTATAAACTATCTTGAAAAGTTCCATAAAGAGATTATAATTCAAAAATAAATCTAGTCCAATGTCATGTCGGGAGCATTCTACTCTTTGAGAATTTTTATTTGCCGTCCTAACTAATACAATAATAATAGGCTCCTTTTAGATAAGCCTATGAATAATAAAATTACAACATTGTACTTAAGTTCCTTAACCAACCAAAAATAAAATAAAACAAAGTTTCAAAATATTCATTATTGTTTCTATGTCCTAACTTTTTTCTTTAGCTAAATAGTAGTGCACTTTACAATTGTTTTGTTGTGTTGGGTAGATTAGTTGTCTAGGCCTTCGTATTTCCTAGATATATAATATTGTATATCTCTAAGTGAAAGAGAAATTTAATTATAAAATTAACAATGCATACAGGAATTATACTATAAATAATATATATACATACTTTTGAAAACGCCATCTTAGGTTATCTGTCACAAGACTATTTGTATTCTCCTATTACTTGGCCAAAGCTTTAGAAAATTATAGACATGACCTAATGTTACACAACATATACAATAAATAGACTCACTTTGTACTATGATTCTTTAATTTTGTCTCAAACAACACTTACCTTGAATTCTCTTTGGACCAAAAGTGCTTTGTTGCTTATGCCAATTAAAGAATGGTTGCATTCATTGAACTTGGAGTACTCATATGGCATAGAAAGTACCTCCAAATTAAATTACACTTTGACGGTCGGTTTGGTACGAGGAATAAAGGATAATTAATTTCGTAATTAAATTTCAGATTCGTTTATTCCACGTTTGGTTGTGATAAAATCATTGTATAACTAGTCCCGGGATTAGTTATACCGGGGATTGCAGTGTTTTTTTTTATCCCAGGAACCAATAAAAAAGTTCGTTTTTAATCAAAGCATATTTTTTTGAAGGGAAGAACATGTCTATGAGCATATATGTCTATTCATAAACAGAGAGACGGATTCATGATTTCAGCATGGTATGTTTCAGACTCTGAATTGTTCAAAATTATGAGTTTAAATTTAATATACTTTTCGAAATTATAAGCTCAAGGTGGTGCATTAATTCAATTGAACATAATTAAAAATTGTAGATCTTGTTGGGTTTTTTTTATGTATTTAATTAATATATTAAATACTTAAAAGAGGGTGAATGGGAAATAGAGAGAAATGAAATTTTTGAGTGAAATTTTAAGTTTTTCCCCTTGGTAAATGGACATTATCCCATATTGGAAGAGGAAGAGGTTTTTTATGGGTATAATTCGGCTTCGGCTTCGGATTCGGATTCGGATTTGGTCAAATGATCGATTGATTGATTAACTTTTTGGACCAAATTTCTTTGTTAATAGTAAAATATTAACAGAAATGTTATTAAATATTTGTTTTAATAACAGAATATTAATATTAAATCCAATCCGTTTTTCTGTTTTGGTAACAGAAAAGTAACTACCCTCTTCAATTTTCCCTCTTCATTTTTCCTCTTTATTGTTGAGTAAATGGCCATTTATGTAATGGCATTTATGCTGTGGCCGTTTTGCATAAACAGCCATTCTGAAGAGTTGCACCTCTTCAGATTTCAGTCCAACTTTGGCTATAAATACAACACTATTCTGCTCAGAATTTCACTACGATTTTCTGAGTTTCTCCTCCTTCTGCATGCTTTTAGCATCAAACAAAGCAACAGTAAGTGTGATTTGCCACCGAACTTTGTGTTCGCTGAAACACTGGGGTTTGAAGTACCACTACACCAGTGTGTAATTCGTTCTATCCTGGGAGGAAATAATCCATAACCTTGGGTACTAGGAGGGGATTAAATTCCTTAAGGAAATACTGTGAATTCAGTGGGCTCGAATTGATTTTCTGTTTATGTTCATTTCTGTTTATGTTCATTTATATTTCTAGAATTATTTTACAAATACAGTTTAATAACAAGCTTAAGGAATTTAAATTATATCTTCTGTATTTGTACTTACTGTTTTTTTGGAGAGTAAAACCTTTGTGGTTTTGTACTCTATTGGAGATTAAAATCTACATGATTTTAACGTTTGTGTCATTCTTTTACAGAAATAACTAATGATAATGTGAACCAAGCTGTTCCAACGGTGACTGCCAATGCCTCAACGAGCCGAACAACACCGGCAGCATTGGCACCGGCGGAGAAACCTGGAAAATTTTCCGAAATTGATTTCAAGTGCTGGCAGCAAAAGATGTTCTTCTATTTGACTACTCTAAGTCTCCAGAAGTTCATCAAGGAAGATGTTCCTGTGCTGTCCGATGAAACTCCAGAAACTGAATGCTTTCTCGTGATTGAGGCGTTGAAGCATTTAGATTTTTTGTGCAAGAATTATATTCTAAGCGGGCTGGAGGATGCTTTGTATAACGTCTACAGTGGCGTGGAAACGTCAAAGGAACTGTGGTTTGCGCTTGAAAAGAAATACAAAACTGAAGATGCCGGGTTTAAAAAGTTTGTTGCTGCAAAGTTTTTGGACTACAAAATGGTAGATAGCAAGTCTGTTATTACCCAAGTCCAGGAATTGCAAGTGATTATTCACGATCTCCTTGCTGAAGGTATAAATCAAATTAATATTGATGTTGAAAGTAATAATCTTAGTATTTTTACTAACAGAAATTTCATTGAAGGTCTTGTCATCAATGAAGCATTTCAAGTAGCAGCAATGATTGAGAAGTTGCCTCCTTTGTGGAAGGACTTCAAAAACTTCTTGAAACACAAACGCAAGGAGATGTCCCTTGAAGATCTCATTGTTCGGTTGAGAATCGAAGAGGACAACAAAGCTGCTGAAAAGAGAGGTCGTGGAAACTCAACAATAATGGGAGCAAATATTGTTGAAGAGAACAAAAAGAGGAAGAAGGCTTCTGGACCGAAATACAACCCAAACAAGAAGCGGTTCAGTGGAAACTGCTACAACTGTGGAAAAATCGGAAACAAATCTACGGAGTGTCGTGCTCCGAAGAAAGACAAGAAGAAGGGTCAAGCAAACATGGTTGAAAAGCATGATGATGTTGATGACTTATGTGCCATGCTTTCCGAATGCAACTTGGTAGGCAATCCTAAAGAGTGGTGGATAGATTCTGGAGCCACTCGCCATGTTTGTGCTGTTAGAGAAGCTTTTGCTACTTATGCTCCCGTTGGACCCGATGAGACGATTTCTATGGGAAATGCTTCAAAGGCCAAGATTGAAGGATGTGGGAAGATATTTCTCAAAATGACTTCCGGCAAAGTGGTGACTTTGAACAACGTCCTTCATGTTCCCGAGATTAGGAAGAATTTAGTCTCTACTGGACTTCTTGTTAAGAATGGTTTTAAATGTGTTTTTGTTTCCTATAAGGTTGTAATAAGTAAGAATGAAATATTTGTAGGAAAAGGTTACCTTACTGAGGGCCTTTTCAAGCTGAATGTAATGGTTGTTGAAAATAATAATAAAATTTCAGCTTCGTCTTACTTACTTGAGTCAAATGAATTATGGAATATACGTTTGGGTGATGTATTTATAAAACCTTACGGAAAATGATTAATTTGGAAGTATTGCCCAAGTTTGAATGTGACAAATTAAAATGTCAAGTGTGTGTGGAATCTAAGTATGTTAAACATCCTTATAAGTCAGTTGAAAGGAATTCAAATCCTTT